TGTTCGACCCTCTAGAAGCTGTTGTCCGTGACCTGTGTTTCAAGGTTGGTCGCGCAGAAACTCCTGTTGGCTTCTCTATCTGTTTCAAAATGTGGCCCGAGGGTTGAAAGAATCAAATCGAAGTCCAAAAAGTTCGACACACTCGGATTCAGTAGTGGACACCGGGATACAGACACGAGAACACCGAGAGTTTAAACTTGTCAAGTAAAATCAAAACGACTCAACTCGATTTAGAGGAGACTTTCTAAACCCGAAAGTCCAAGTTGTAGAGAGAGGAGGGTGACGAAGATCTTTAACCGTAATGTCAATTAGAACTGTAACTTGAAGTACTCTCATTTTAAATATTAACTCACGGTCTTCGTGACATGAAGTTCCGATCGTTACGGATTTCCCTAAGTCTGTCTCTCAGAACATCCTCCATCCTCTCGATGTCCTCCATCGTTAAATCAGTCAGGCATCCTGCATCTGCACATAATATAGCAGTAGCAAGCATAATTAGTTATTTAAAATAGTCAAATATGAATGTGAATTGTTGTGAAGTTATCTTTTTGACAACCTTTTTACAGACATGCAAGTTCTCTGTTCCAATTATTGCAGATTCTCAAGTTAGTACTCTATTTTCTAAACCTAAACCTAATTCAAAGTTTGCATTGATTTTCTGACAATCACATTTGTAATATTTAATAATAATGCAGGTGGTTAATTTACCTTGTTGGTCATTTAATATCCCACTGGTGTCCTCTGGTTGTGGGCTGTCAGACGGGGGTTGCGTCGGTTCTGGGCTCTCGGTTGTCTGCAGGAGATCCAACAAAGCCTCTGCACATTCTGATTGTCTTTGTTGGTCTTCCTTGAGCTCCATCCTCTGCTCTCGTCGAAGAGATGCCTCTGATCTGGGCTTACTTGTTGTGTGGTAACCGAGGCTAACAGTGGGAGCCCAGTCTACCGACTCAACGTCACCCAAAGCGCTAGGGCACCCTAAAAAGTCCCAACAAAGTCCATATTAGACTACAGGTAACTTAAACATGATCAGTATTACTAAGTACATAAGCAAACAACCCAATAATACATAAACAAAGCCACAAAAACCAAGTTGCTCACAGGCTCTGAATACACATACAGACAAATCTTGGGTCGCAGGAGGGGTGGGGTGTTGATCAGTATTGGCTTAGGATGGGCGTCATCACGGGTCTCAACCAATGAGAGCATTTTGGGCGGGCCTAAGACTGCTGCAGCGCTCACATGAACTGAAACAGAAAGAAGTTGCGGGGACAGAAACATGGAGAACGGTACCGAACTCTTACATGGACATTTTACATCCGTTCAGACGGGGCAGTTTATATAATCAGAGTTATTTGTAACCACTGCAGAGTTGAGTTTTCTTATCTCTGGACTCTGAAGGGAACTTCTGTGACAAACTAGATAAACGTTAATGCCCTGGCAGTGGAAAATACATGTAGCTTTGGTTTTATATTTGATTTGATTACATTAATTAATGTTTAAGTTGAGATTTACAAGAAACATTTGAACTGCTACTGTGTTAAGGGAATACTGCTGGTAAAAGCACCGTATTTTTTTAAAGTGTTTGCCAACCAAATGTTATTGCACTTTTGTTCATGTAGCAGTACTTTTAAAATAAAAGTGCGCAATGCAGTACTTTTGAATTAAATCAACATTTTAATTGTTGCCCAGCACTAGTTTATATAATTGCATCATCTTTTAAAACGCAGCGTGTTTCTCCTCATGTGAGTGTTTTGAGCTGTTGTAATGTGTTTGCACCTGTCGGCCACCATAGAACCATGTCTTTTATTCAGCCGGGGAACCAACAGGGTTATACTTCAACACTTTTGCGACAATATGCAGCTTTCTTGACTTGCAAGATAATCTTTAAAATTGACAAGCACAATATGAGTAATACACTGCAAAATTCCAACAATATCCATTTGTCTCTTTCGCCATGAAGTTCCTCCACCAGAGCACAGGGACTTCACCTCTCTGTATAGATGGCAAGTGTCATGACATGCATGGTTCCCAGAGAATGAATCCTAAGGATTTGAAGATTTCCTGGTAATCCTGTTTCCATACCAATCACATTTCCTTGTATGTATCCACATTATACACATATTTCAATGTAGCTTTTTTTGAAGTACTTGAGGACTTTAAATGTCAAATTTGAATGGCAAGCTGCAGGATTCACTGTCAGGTTTTTGAAAACTGACAACCTTGGTGGAAAGTACCCATCTATTGTTTCCTTGCTTCCAAAAATAGTTTATTTTTTCCATCAGTATACAGTAAATAGATAACTGAAGGCTGAACGTTGAGACATGTGACAGCAGCTGACACGGTGCTCTGCCATCCGTGAAGGAAAGGCAGTTTTGTGAGAGAGACCGACAAGAACAGAGGCCGCAAAAGAGGTGAAAATATACTTCATAGCAGAGTGAACAAAAAGAGAGTGACCCGGGTAGGCTTTAGCACAACTTAAAAGAATAAAGAAAATCCCCACAAGTCCAAGATATCTTAAAGGGTGGGAAGTTTATGATTTTCTTGGAGAAATTGTGCTGCAGAGCGAAGCCATGGGCGATTGAGTGTCAGAGAGCCTCTGGGCAGACATGCAAAACCAGCTCTTCAACACATGGGGCAAGACACACACACACAGAGGTGCTTTTACATTTGTTGTTGTTGTTTTGGGTCTCTTTATAGTGGCTACGTGTATTTTTGTGGTCATTTTGTGTGTTTTTGTAGTTGTGATGTGTCACTCTGTGGTGGTTTTGTGTGGGCTTTTTGTGTCTTTTTGAGGTCAATAAATGCTTCATTGTCGTCGTTTTTTTTCTCTTTATGGTCTTTACATGTGTTTTTATGGTTGTTCTGTGTCATTTAGTAGTTGTTATGTGTCACTCTGTAGTTGTTTGGTGTCTCTTTATGGTCTGTATGTATCTTTTTGTGGTCTTTTTGTTTATCTTTATGGCAATTTGTGTCTCTTTGTTGTCATCATGTGCCTCTTTGTAGTTGTTTAATGTCTCTTTGTGTTCTTCATTTGTATGTTTTTGCTTGGTGTCCCTTTGTTGAGGTTTTGTGTGGACATTTTGTCAGTATGTAAATAATTGTAGTAGTTTTGTGTCACTTTGTGTTCTATATATTCCACTTTGTCACTCTTTGTGATCTTTTTGTTTCTCTTTATATAAATGTGTTATCTCTTTGTGTTGGTTGTGTCAATGTAGCAGGTTTTTGTGTCTTTGTAGTTATTTCCCCCCTATTTGTAGTTATTTCGTGTATCTTTGTAGTTGATATGCACCTTTTTGAAGTCATTTTAAAGATCTTTGTTGTTGTCATTTTAGTCTTCATACTAAGTTCGCGTCTCTCGAGCCCCTGATACTTTGGGCCCCTTGGCCTTTTGTGTTTAGTCATGGTTTTATTTTGAAATTTCTGTTCTCCCTGTGTCTGGTCTTCCTTCCTGTGTTTGCCCTCCTGTGTCTGATTGTCTCATTGTGTTCACCTGTTGCCCCACCACCCCTGTGTTTCTGCCTCCCCTCCCCAGCTGTGTCTTGTGATTACCCATCTGTGCGATTAATCTCATCTTCCCTTTTGCTTGATATTCGGTCGTCGTCTTTCTCGTCCATGTTACCTGCCTGTTCCTGTCTGTAAGTTTGTTCCTGTTTCTCGTGCTCCCAGATTTGCTGATTTCAAGTTGTTTCTTGTTTTTCTTTGTCATCGGCTTTTTTTGATTAAAGGTGGGGTAGGTAAGTTTGAGAAACCGGCTCGAGATACACTTTTTTTTATATTCCATGGAATGCTCTTAACATCCCGATAGCAATGAATATCTGAAGTGCTTTGACAAAAAATCCATACAAAAATGTCATCTGTGGAAGCCGTAGTACTGTAAAAAGCACGACCTATCATTTTAGCCGGCCCGGCTAAAATAACTGGATGGCCTACCTGCCTGTCAGCTTTCCATCTGTGCACAAACTTATCTCATGCCCTCATTGGTCATGTGCGCGTTCGTGTGTGTTGGAGGAGGGGCTCTGTAAGGAAGTGGCAGATTTTTTCCGGCTGTGTATTTTCAAATTTTAACGCACTCGAGCTGGTTTTCCAAAATTACCTACCCCACCTTTAATGCTCACTTTTTGTTACTAGACCTTTTGTCTTTTTTTTACTGCATTTGGGTCCTATTTTCCCCAATCCTGACAGTACGACCGAACCACTATAGACCCAGCAGTTTTTTCAAAGCGCTGTATGAGCTTAAGTACACTCTTGAGTGCATTTTTAATGAGTGGATGAGAGCCTCCTCAAGAGGGGCCAATGAGGCTGCCCTTAAAGCCTGCGTCACACTGTCCCGAAATTGACACCCGATGGACACACGAATATGGAATTGTGAATTTCGCACGAAGATGGCCCCGAACCACACACAAAGGCATCATTTACATTACATTTAAGACACACAACTGCAACGAAAGTAACAAAAACAATTATGTTAAAGTACTATGATACTGTACTGATATTTTCAGACTTTGTTCTTTACTTTATACGTTTTTATATGTAGAAGATATTAAGTTTTCTCCGTAATGTTGTTTCCATAGCAACAACAACTTCCTGTCAACTCGCCTTCAAAATAATATATTATATCCTTTTCAGTTTCACAGAGCACAAATTGGGTTATTTACATAATATGTTTAGATGATTTTGTTGTGCAATA